GTGTGTATGCCCGTTGATGAAGCAATACCACTACAAGGTCTGTATCTCAAAAAGATTAAAAAAGGGGGGGTGGGGAGGACAAGAACTATTTGTACAAAAATATTTATGGCAGCTTTTTGTGGTGGCTAAGAATTAGAAATGGGGAGATGCTCACCAATCAGGGAATGACTAAACAAGTCGTGGTATATGACCATGATGAAATATTATTGTGCTATAAGAAATGACAAACAGGAAGATTTCAGAAAAACCTGCAAAGACTTTCATCAACTAATGCAGAGTGAAGTGAGCAGAATCAGAACATTGTACACAGTAATAGCAATACTGTATGATGATCAACTGTGAATGACTTAGCTATTCTCAGCAATACAACGATGCAAGACAATTCCAAAGTAGTTATGATGAAAAATGCTATCCATCTCTGGAGAAAGAACTGATGGAGTCTGAATGCAGACTGAAGCATATTTTTTTAAATTTTATTTTCCTTGTTTGTTTGGTTTTTTTGGCCTGTGTTTTCTTTCACATAACTAATATGGAAATATGCGTTGCATGACTGCACATGAATAATCTATATTAAATGACTTGCCTTCTCAATGAAGGGGCAGGGGAGGGAAAGAAAGAGAGAATTTGTAACTCAAAAATTTAAAAAAAAAGGATGTTAAAAATTGTTTTTACATGTAATTGGGGGAAAATATTAAATTAAACAAAACAAAGAGGAGTTTGGCTGTTGCCTTATACATGGCTACTAAACAGGTAACTGACTGGTTTTTGTTAAGAACTGGAGTTTTTGCTACTACTGAACTTCATTTGGGTCGCATCCTGCGCTCCTGGCTTGTACCAGAGAAGTACAGCAGCAGGCTGAGCGCTGCCTCCTCTGCAAATAAGCCCTCAATATCTGAACAGTTGGAATTTGAGCAATTTCAATTTCATAGCGTCCATCTCCAACCAGAAACAAGTATCTCTGACTATGAGAAAGGCAACAAGCCATCATTTCAGATTTCCCTGGCGTTCCTAGTGCTACACACATAGAAAGAAGCTCCACTGAAGAGCACTTTGAGTTGCCTGAGACAGGAGTGCACACTCTTGAGTGCTGTCGAAGACGGTCCACAAAGCACACTGGGGGCAAGGGTGATTTCTTGCTCCATTAATCACAGAAGCACTTCCCACAGTAGTGACAGTAGTGCTTTCTAGTCATGTATTAAACTTGATTTCACACTTGCATACATCTTGGACACGTTTCGCCTAGAGGCAGAATGTAAACTCTTTTGGGTTGTGGAAGGTCTTTTGGTTTGTTTTTCCCCCATTTCTGAACTGAACTAAATTGAAAGAAGGCATAGAATGCATGGCTTAATTAAACTGCAGATGGTGCAAAGCTGTAAAGTTAATCCGATGGATGACAGTCAGGATCCAAACAGAGCTCAAGAGGTTAAGATAGGCCAAATCTAATGGGATGCAATTTAAGTGAATAATGTGAAGTCCTACACTTAGGCTGCAAAAAATTGTCCTCATAAATACAGGGTAGGGAAGGTAGGGGTAGAAAACAGCTCATTTGATGTGGCAGCCAAAAAAGCTAACTCAAGCTTCAGCCGCATCTGGGGAAGCATCAGGTCCAGAAAAAAGGAAGTTACAGTTCCTGCTGTACTCTGCCCTCATCAAATCTCACCTACAGTTTGATGCCTATTCAGTTCTGGATGGCATACTTTAAGATAGATATAATGCCTAGCTCTGGGACCCTCTGCGGTTCATTGAGGCCAAAGGAGCTGCTGAAGGCCCCCAGTGCTCAGGGACAATACACAGTCCATTGGGTGAGAATGCACCAGTTTCCTGACATTGCAATGAAGGTTCCTCCGCCTGGTCCAGGGCTACTACAGTGGACCTGTTTCCTGGATCTTTTCATACAAATATATCTTTTTTTTCCCAAATATATCTTCTTAATATACAATGCTACTTGTCATTCTTCTTCTTTACTTATTCCCCTAAACTGTTCCAGTGCCACATTTCAGTCATGGGTCCCATGTCACCAAGTCTTGGCAAGAACTATGAATGAAGTCTGATTTGCTTCATTTCATTAGGATATCCATTTAACTTTGCCTATTCCTCATATGTGTATTTATGTGTGAAAATCTGAGGGTGATTTTTTTTTTGCTCGTTCTTTTCTTGAATTTTGAGTTCTATGACTATGAGTGTTTTCACTGCTATTCTTCCTGGGTTGAAGTAATTCTCTACCTAGGTACCAAGTATCTAGCTTCATAGCTATATATAGGCAGGTTTCTCTCACATTCCTTTTCATTTTAAAGCCTTTTTGTAAAAATGAGATTTGCAAGACTCTAGGAAAATCTGAGTGGTTTATTTTTTTAAATCATCCCTTGTTAGGTAAACTATATAACTAGCCAAGAGTCCTTCATTCTTATATTTTAAGCTGTGGTTCACAAATCCAAATCCCCTACTCAGATATCATATTCTTAACTAGCTGTTCACAAATCTGCCTCTTTTTCCTGAAACCCGTAATTTTTGATTGGCAGTGGTGATGAAAACACTAGTTTTGCCCCTAAGGTGCTGAGTTTCTTGCCAAAGACTTTGTAAACTTCAGATATGCTTTCTAGATTCCTTCTGGCAGTATGGTTGATGTCTATGTGAATTTCCAGAAGTCTTGGGAAGTTCTCGCTCACATGCTGGATAAATACAGAAGACTTCTCTGTTGTTAATGACCATTTTGACAAAACACTGCTTCAGTATCTCTGAGCAGGGATTCCGACATCTGCCAGCAATTCTTGTCTCTTCTCGATCGTCCTCAATAGCACTTGTGGAATCATAGCATATTCTTTGGAGGACACTTCTGTTCTACTTTTCCTTACAATCACTTGGTGTGTATGCTCAGTGAAGACTAACTGGTTTTAATGTTTGACAAACATATGAGTGAAGTGAATCTACTTTCTTACTATTAATGTATACCAAAGATGATTCTAAATGAATTTTGGATTATCCGCTCATGTTGCTGTTCTTAACTACAGTAGACTATGCAAACTGACTGTAATTGTTACGTTAAGAATGGGTTTGCTATAATCCCTCCCAAATGACAACAGTTTAGAGTAACAGTCTATATCTAATACTTTTTAAACAAGCTCCTACTTAACTTTTAAAGAGTGTTAGCACTATTATTTAGAGCCCTGTGGCTCTAAATTAGTGAAAATAAATTTAATTTCTCTGTAGCTCTATGTGCTCACCAAATAAGTGAAATGAGCAACACAGGAATATTTATTTCATTGTATCTTAGAGTCAGAGTCAAAGAGCAGAAATCAAATTTAGTAATCTGTCAATAATCTAAAATTCAGAGGACCATAAGAAAAACAAGAAACTTTTAAGTGATAAATTCACTATGCATCATTATCCTGTGCCTTCTTTTATTTCTTTATATAGAACATAAAAAGTACTTCTATATATTATGTGAAAAGGAATTTTATTGACAAAAGTAAAAGGTAGTTTACACATGGCCAGATTGTTTGGACAATACTGAGTGGTAATAAGAAATAAAGCCACTAAAATTTATTTCAAAGAACAAGTAACTAAATTTGTACAAGCTCTTGATTCTGAAAATACATATCATCAAATCATACAGTAACTTTTTTCTTTTTGTCTAAAAATAGCCCATTTGTTTCAGAAGTAAGCTCACATTTGGGAAATTGCCCAGTACTTTTAATAAATCCAAATGGCTTGTTGCCTCAGAATAACTTGTTTTTTGATACTATAAATCATGGTTGGTACAGTAACATAAAAATCAATTATTTAGATTATATAAAATTAGCATGAATAAAATCAATGAAGGTGGAATTAGAAGAAAAACTAGAAAGCAGGAAAAATATTGGCATCAACTATCACTGATAAAAGTCTGATATCCAAATGTCAAGACTGCACAGCAAGACCACTCCTCTCTTTTCTTACTATTAGAAGACACCTTGTTTTCCAGAGCTAAGGCCCAGTGTGGCATAACAAGAGTCCTTTGCAGTCACCATCTGGACAAACTCTGCTGCAGCTACATCACAGAATTGGCTCAAACCAGCCCCTAGGTGGTTCCTGAGCTCACATAAGCACCTCTAGGAACCACATTCTGGTCATGAAGACTTGATATGAATAGATCTTTTGTCACTAGACAAACTGGCCTCATTGCTGCCATTACACCTCATCACTTGGTTTTTTATCTAGTTACAACTATACGTATCAAGTCTTAGCCTCGCTGTGTTGCGTCTCTTGGTCCTAGAGTAGACGCTGGCACACATGTCTATTTTACTTCCACTACTGGAAATGTACCCCAAGGAAGTATAAAAAAAACATAAACAAAGGTCCAACATATGCCAAAATATTCATAGGAACACTTTTCATGGTAGAAAAGAACCAGAAACAAGTTAGGTATCTATCTACTGGGGAAAGGCTAAGGAACTACAGTATATTAATGTAATGGAATATTATGTAGTAAGAAATAACAAATATGAGGAATTCAGGGAAGCATGGAAAGATTTGCATGAACTGTTGCAGACAGAAATAAGCCAAACCAAGGGAACAATATAACATTTACAGTATAAATGAAAAACCACACCAAAAAGAAATAAAATTCTGAATAACTGAAAAACTAATCAAGATCCCATAGAGAGACATGGGGGACTACTATGAAAAACACCATATACATTGTCAATACAATCACTGTATCATATGTTTTTGGTTAAGTGGTTTTTTCATTACAAGGGAGGGTTCAATCTGGAGGAGAGAGCTGAAATAGCTGTCATATAAAGAAAAGGCATCAATAAAATGCATTAAAAATAAAATAAAATGTTTTATACACTTTAAAAAGTCATTAATACAGAATAAGAGTTGAGAATCCTTAAGGCAATTTCAGGAATAATTTTGGCCTAGACAATTTAAAAATGGGCACTTTCCAAATCTACATATTTAAAATAATATAGCAAACAAAATAAAAAGGTTCATTTAAAAAATACTGGGGGGCATTTTACCTCTCTTTAGACTTTTAAATATTGTTTCATTTGTTTTAACTTCATGATTTTTGGTTTTCTTTGGAGAAGTTATCAGTTTACTTTCATTTTTTGAAGTTGATTCCTTAAAAACAAAACAGATGGAAATAATTTTCTATCAGTAACACTGCCAGTATCCATCCTAAATAGGAAGCTCAGAGCACTTTAAAAATTATGTACACGGCATAGAAATTAACATATTCCTATAGTCGGATGTCACATCATCTCCCCCCAACATGTCCTTGGTGGAGGCAAACAAACAAAAAAAATTACTTTCTAACCACTCCTGTCCCTTGGAATCTTCTAACTCTGAAATACCTTCTCTTTTATCTCCTGCTTTGCAAGTCACCTCCCTAAATTGCCTCTCTGTGCTGAAGAAGCCATGAGGTAGAAGTAAAGCTAGCTGATCACATGGCCCTCAAATTCCCTAGGGCAGGGGTCCATTACTTTGTTTTAAAAGTATTTTGATAAGTGAATTTCAATATAATTGCTTTACTTTGTAGCCCCATGTATTTTACTATATGCATTTTAAAACATTCTGAGGGATCTTCCATAGGTTTTACCAGATTACCAAAGGGGTCCAGGACACACAAAAGATTAAAAATTCCTATCCGCAGGCTGTGTCCTGAGGCCATCTGTCATGTAACCCCAACTTCATTTCATTAAGTCACAAGAGGTAGAAATAAACAGCCAGAAAATGCTAAGGTACGTGAACCACATCATAAGGGTTAATACTCTGGTACCTCATTACCTTTATATCCTCTAAATCTTTGCCTTAATATTGTTTTTTAGGTGAGGCTATGCTAATAAAATATGAAGTCTTTTTAGTACATATATTAACTGAGTTTCTCTGGCTGAAATTTAAATGTATTTTTAGATTATAACAGATAATAGTATATGGAAATTCCATAGTATGCTTCATCTTGACAATCTCCTATTCTTAAAATAGTCAAACATGGGCAAAAACACTAAGTATTCAACTGAAGTCAGATGTCTGTTTTACTCATCTGAAGATCAAACAATAGTGTATGAAAAAAATTACCTCTTTAGGTAGGCAGGTTTTTCCACCAGTATGGAAAGTGATATTCGTTTGATTATCACAATTATGTTCATCATGCCGAAATTTTAAAGGTACTTCATGATGCTGATCAGTATGAAACATTTTTAATTCTGTAGCTCTATGTAAAGCATTACACTCAATAGGTATTTCTATGAGGACAAAGATTATATTTCATTAGGAATAAGATTTTCAATGTATAGTGCTTTCTAATAAAAGGCACATCAAATAAATACAGATTGCAAACCAACCATTACTGAATAAAAGTAATCCATTGGAGTTGGACAATTTTGCTTTAGATCTTTCCTAATAAAAGGGAAGTTCATTTATTCCTAATAAATTATAAGATACCATGCTTTACAACTTCTTAAAGCTTTTAGACAACTTATTTCATGGGGTAGGTTCTGTCTATATCACCCTTTTTCAAAACACAAAGGAAAAGGGGACTTCCACGCATTGAGAGTTATGAATTTTTAACCTTCTTCCCCAGATTCAATGACGTGGTATTCAGAGTGGAGGACTGAATTAATAAATAACTGACCATCTTCCTCACTGGGATGTTATGAGGAAAAATGGTAAAAAGCACATTATAGCCTAGAAAGTACTGTACAAATGCAACAATTTAATAAAAAGCTAACAAATCTAGTTCTATTTCCTCTATATTTCTATTTGTACATGGAATCCTTATGTTAAAATCTGTTCATTTTGTTGTGTAGTACAATAGTAACTAAGTCATCAACAAAAACAAACATAAATAGTAAGTTTACTTACACATAGAATTGTACTTCTTGGAAATGTGAGAGATGTATTAAAACCTCTCATAATAATTATGAAAACCTACACACTAAGAAACTGCTCAAAGAATCTCATTCAAGAGCTGGAGACCAAAGAGTAAAACTGGAAAATGATAAAATACTGATTAAATGTTATAAAAATGTCTTAAGAAATACTGCTAACAGGATAAAAACAATATTTAAGGGACTCACAGTCAAACTACATGTACATTAAACTGGAGCCAAGTGGTTAGAAAGGAAAGAGATCAAGAAATCTGGAGGTAAAAAAACATATTCTTCCATTGTAAGTCATTAGGCTAGTAAAAAATCAAGATCCAGAGGAGAAATTTAAAATGCAAGTTTAGTTAAATTGCTATATTTTCTAAGACACTTAAAGATTGTTAACAAATGGATTATCTCTCCATGATAAAAGCAAGAGAAAAATTTTATGATCTGATCTCTTTTATGTAAGGTTTAAATTTCCACCTCTCATATTGTTACTCAACCCTCAGTACTGGGTGAGGATACTTTCTCTTCATGTCATTTTTTTCCCTTAGCAGTGGGAGTGGAACATTGTTATTTTCTCTCTTTTTAAAAAAAAAAGTAATGCCATTAGATGGGAGGTAACACATCAAACCCTTATTTTTTGAGTCTCCTTTACCCCAATCATTGTGTACGGATAACCAAAAGGTAAATAAAGTCCAACCTGTCTCAGACCACCAAGGGAAATGAAAGATTAAAGGATTAAAAAAGCCCTGAAACATAAAAAACTGTACCCCAAGTCAAACAGCTGATCAGCGGGGAACTAAACATAACTATATGTTTCCTTCATACAAGTATCTGCAGAAAATAGCTCACACAAAAAAATTCTCTTGGCCTATAAAAAATAACTTCCTTCTCTGTGTGGCAACCAAAACTTCCACCTGCCTTGGCTTGTGATGTTGGACAAAATAAAGGCTTTAGTTCCATGACCTCATGCAAAAATCTTTCTTCTCAGCCTAACAGTTTAAATGGGCTGGGGGCATATAAAGATGGAGATGACATGAGTATCTAAATCCTAGAAATTCCCTGCCACTTTCTGTAACCTTCCCTAATATTTGAGATTTTCAGTTCCATTCACTAAAGAATCACAAATTCAGTCAGCGGCAAGACTGTAATTCAAAATTTCTCCTTTCTTTCAGCTGTGTCTCGGGTTTCTTAAAAGAACTAATCTCTAAATGAGAGATGACAGTGAGGTTTTAGAGCTAAAGAGGGCAAAATTTACAGATGATATCCCACTTTGGGGGCAGGATTCCTTCTGCTTAGAGAAGAAGATGAACTAGACTGGTACTATCATTACAGTTTATCACTTCACTTTCATCAGAAGGTAGTAGTGTTCAGGCTGTGCCAAAAGCCTATTATGTCAACGTAGAGAAATTAGGAGGGCGCCTGAGAGCAGATAAAGGCTTGAGACACAACCAAGTGGATGCAAATTATCCTTTTTCTACCCTGGAAGGAATGAAGTACATTTGTCTTAGAGAAGTCTCTGCTTGTAGTATGACTGCTGATTCAAAACAGGAAAATAAGGATATGGGGCGTCAAGAGAGAGAATTATGCAGAGAAATAAACATCCTTTTTCCTCCTAGAAGTGATAATGGGACATATACCAAGAAATGTTATCAAGGTCAATAGCAGCTGTCCTGAAATGTTAAAGGTTTGATATGACTAATGATTTTAGCAGTCTTTTTTTTTTAGACCAAATTAAGTAAAATTATGTTCTTATCACTACCTAAAAGAAAGTGGGTTTTCTCTTTTTCAACAGGAATGAATCATTTCGATGGCTCTGATATAAATCTGGACCAGCTTCTAGGGTTTAAGTGGCCAGAATACCTTTCTTTGTTCCAGGTAACCTATTATATTTACATCTCTATCGGAATTAAGATAAGCTGGTTTATCTACTGGTATTTATTATCTAATAGAAGCCAGGAGGAAAACTGTGATCCTGGCTACAAAAGGTTCTAGGGCTTACAATGTAATTTCTTTGTCAGTAAAACAATCTTCAAAAACAAGATAAATTATCCTAATAAATGCAATGTTTCAAAAACTTCCATACTATTGCACTTTAGGTATAAGAAGAAAATAATATAGATTTAATCAATAGTTCAACTTCTTCCTGTCAATTTAAACATATAAGAAAAAAGATGAGCATACCAGAGCAGTTTTCAGAAACATCAAAGGTAGTATTTTTAGTTTTGGCATTTTTGGAGACCATTTCTGTTCCAGTTTCTTCTGATGTATCACTTTTTTTCATCCTTGTGTCAAAGACAGATTTATCTGTTTCTTGTTGATCCAATTTACATTTTTTTCCTTTCTTAGGAAGTGTCCTTTAAACAATTAAAAAATGTATGAATTAAATACTTTTCATAGTTAACATTCAAGTTTTCTCTCCATTGAGTTTTTAAAAGAACAAAACAATAACTCAGTTATAGCTATTATACAAAAAAAACTATCAAAGAACATAATAAGGAAGGTGAAGTAGAGATTCTTATATAAGAAAACATATTCAACATCATAGGCAACACTGAGACTTAGTAGGATAAAATTTATGGTTGTGAAATTTATGGCTTATGGCTATGAAAGAATATGCTTTGTTCAGAACAAAAATAGATTGAAGGAGAACACTATACTATTGCATATTAACATATACTCAAGCGAGGACGTACAGGAACAAGGAAAGATAGTAGAGCGAAAAAAAAAGATAGGATTTATGTGAAGATTAGAGAAGGGATCTTGTCATAGTAGCATACTATAGGCCATTGGGACAGAAGGAAGAAATAAGATGATGACTTCAAAAAACAGACTACAAGCCTGGCATGAGGCATGATGAGTAGTGACGCTCTAATTGTTTGAAAATCTGCTATGGCTTCCTCTCTGTCAAAACCAGAGCCGTTAATACATTTTTTTAATTAATTAATTTATTTAGTTTTCAACAATCACTTCCATAAGCTTCTGAATTTTAAATTTTTCTCCCCCTTTCTCTTTTTTTTGGTTTTGTTTTGGGCTAGGCAATGGGGTTAAGTGACTTGCCCAGGGTCACACAGCTAGTAAGCGTCAAGCCAGATTTGAACTCAGGCCCTCCTGAATCCAGAGCCGTCGCTCTATCCACTGCGCCACCTAGCTGCCCCTCCCAAGACAGCATGCAATCTGATATTGGCTCTACATATACATTCCTATTAAACATATTTATACATTGATCATGTTGTAAAGAAGAATTATAACCAATAGGAGGAACCACGAGAAAGAAGAAACAAAACACAACAGAAGAAAAAAAAAGAGCAAATTGTATGCTTCAAGCTGCATTCCAACTCCATAGTTCTTTCTCTGGATGGGGATAGCATTTTCCATCATGAGGCCTTTGGAGATGTCTTAGATCCTTCCATTGCTGAGAAGAGCTAAGTCTATCAAAGTCAGTGATCACACAACATGGCTGTTACTGTGTATGATGTTCTCTTGGTTCTGTAGCTAATACGTTTTTTAACTTGTCTTAAGTACATTTTAGTCTTTCCAGAAGTATGGAAATCAATATGAAGAATCTGAACTTAATTCTGACTAAAAAGGAGCTGATTGCTAAGAGAAAAAAATGGGAACTGTAGGGAGAAATTAACAACTCTATTTTAGAACATGGGATAATGTAGGTGAGAAAAGCCAGATGTCATTTGATCTGTATCCTCAATTTTAGAGAGTACAAAGAGAAAGAATAATAGGATTAAAAAAACTAAAATTTTAAAGAAGTCAGTCCAAGCAAGACAGGATACTAACAGAAATAACTGGGGTGAGAAAGAAAAAGGGGAGTATCTAAGGCACAGGGAACTGAGCAATTGATTTAGATTTTTAAAAATATCGGTACAGAGGATGAAAGCAATGGTAGGTAGTGCCCAAGAAACAATGTCGGGTTCCTAGTTTGAGGCACAGAAGATGGGGTCAAACCAGCAGCCAGGGAACGCAGTGCATAGTCTCTTGTCAGTCCTACTCAAGATATAAGAAGGAAACAGAGGAGCCCCGTGCTTCAGACACAGCAGGAGAAAGGACCAGGGCAGCATGTGAGAAGCAAACCACTTAGAGTCTCCCAGAAGGCCTTCTCCCAGCACCATCAACAACATATAGGTGGGATTCGTCAAGATCACAGCAAAGACAGACTGAAATACAGGTTTTGAACTATACAAGGAGAAGGAGAGAGGGAAGGGGTTCAAGGCCAATATGTAAGCCAAGTCACCAGAAGACTGAGCCAAAGATGAATTCCTGTAGGAGGATAGCCCAGTCTTTCTTTCTTTTTTTTTTTTGCTAGGCAATGGGGTTAAGTGACTTGCCCAGGGTCACACAGCTAGTGAGTGTTCTGTGTCTGAGGCCATATCTGAACTCAGGTCCTTCTGAGTCCAGGGCCAGCGCTCTATCCACTGCGCCACCTAGCTGCCCTGAGGAAAGCCCAGTCTTAATCACCACATATGGGACCAAATAGGGGGCTGCCCACATCATCCAGAAGTATGGAAAGTAGCAAGGTCTAACTCAGCACATAGCCCTAATTCAGAAAACTGTATCTGAAGATATGAATAGACAGAAGAAAACACTGAACACAATGAAAAAATATCTTGGTCAAAGAGAAGCCCAAGAGGTAAATCCAAAAGAACTTCACATAGAAGTCAACATAGAGTCTCAGAGAAAAGAATGTCCTGACAACAAGAACTATAAAAGTACCCTGAGGAAATCAAATAAGAAATATAAAATGAAATGTTAAAGGAAAGGACAAGTAGGAAAAAAAGAATAGCAAGGAAAATTAATAGCTTAAAACAGATTGTGGCAAGCCTTACCTAAAAACTGAACTCCTTGAAACTTAGAAAGGACTAAAGAGAAAATAATTATTAGACAACAAATATATAAAACAAACTGAAACAGTGGAAAAAAAAACAGAAGAGAAAGTAAAGTATATAGTACCACCACCATCAGATCTGGAAAGCAGGTCAAGGAGAGATAATCTTACAATCATCACATTATCTGAAAATCATGACAAAAACAAAATAAAAGCTAGATATCATACTTAAAGAAATAATGAAAAATTGCTATATCTGGAAATAGCAAATGCCCAATTAGTGAATGGCTAAACAAAATGTGGTAAATATAATGGAATATTATTATACTATAAGAAATGATGGTTATATGAAATAAATGCTTTAAAGTACTATTGACTAGAGAAATGAAAATTAAAAAACAGTTCTGAGGTACTACCTCACACCTTTCAGATTGGCTAAATGACAGAAAAGGAATGCAACAAATGTTGGAGGGGATGTGGAAAAATTGTTGACACTAATGTACTGTTGGTGGAGTTGTGAACTGATCCCACCATTTTGGAGAGTAATTTGAAACTATGACCAAAGGACTAAAAAATTGTGCATACCCTTTCACCCATCAATACCACTATTAGGTCTGTATCCTAAAGAGATAAAGAAAAAAAAAACCAGAAAGGAAAAGGACCTGTATGTACAAAAATATTTATAATGGTTCTTTTGAGGATGGCAAACAATTAGAAATTGAAGGGATGCCCATCAATTGGGGAATGGCTGAACAAGCTGTGGTATACGAATGCAATGGAATACTATGGTGCTATAAGAAATGAACAGGATGGCAAGATTTATATGTACTGAAGCAAAGTGAAACGAGCAGAACCAGGAAAACACTACATGGCAACAGCAATACTGTACAATGACCAAATGTGCATGACTTAGTTATTCTCAACAATACAATAAGACAACTCTGAAGGACTTAGGATGAAAAGATGCTATCAGCCTCTAGAGAAAGAACTGATGGAATCTGAATGCAGATTGAAGCATACTTTAAAAAAATTTTTTTTGGTCTGTTTTCTTCTGTGACATGGCTAATATGGAAATATGTTTCGCATGACTGCACAAGTATAATCTATATCAAATTGCTTGCCTTCTCAAAGGGGGGGGAGGGGTAGCTAGGTAGCACAGTGGATAGAGCACTGGCCCTGGACTCAGGAGGACCTGAATTCAAATCTAGCCTCAGACACATAACACTTACTAGCTGTGTGATTCTGGGCAAGTCATTTAACCCCAATTGCTCACAAAAAAATAAATAAATGCTTAACAATCAAAGTGGGGGAGAGGAGGGACAGAGGGAGGGAATTTAGAACTCAAAATTTTAAAGAAATGAATGTTAAAAATTGTTTTTACATGTAATTGAGAAAAAAGCAAATTAATTTTTTTTTAAATGATGAAATGGAAAGTTTCAGGGGAGATTTTACGGACTGATTCAGAGTGATGTTAGTAGAATCAGAAGAATAATTCATATAAAAACAATTTTGAAGGGCTTAAGAATTTTGATCAATGCAATGCCCAATCACAATTCAAGAGGACTGATAATGAAGCAGGCCATTATGATGGGACAAAGATGCAGAATAACACAGCGTTTTGCACATGGCTAATCAAAAAATTTGTTTTTCTTGATATGTATATGTGTTATAAGGATTTTTTCTTTTTTTTTTTTTTTTTAAATGGGGGTGGTATAGAGAGAAGGGCTAGGAATCAGAAAAACAAAACAAAACAAAAAAACCAAGTAAATACAAAATGTAAACACAAAAAGAATACCATCAGGAATGTTTAACCTCAGCATGAGTTCAAGGATGATGATAAGGCCACAAAAAGGTCTTAGCTATGTCAGGAAAAAGAAACGATCAAGGAAGGGATTTTGACAGTGAAAATGATGATGACAATGTACCATAATGAGAAGGTAAAACTGCTCAGCTCTTATTTTGCTTATGTGTTCCCCTGGGACAATAATCTTTGGACTAGAGAGAACAAAATAAATCCTAGTGAAAGACAGTGAAAGACCTCTAGATCATGCCATATCAATCAACAAACATTTATCTACTCTATGGCATATATAGTTGGAAGAACTGTTACTGTTTGAGAGATTTAGACCCCTCAAAGACCAGAGTACAGGACAGGGTCATCTGGAATGAATTCACAGACTCAAGCATTCTTTAAGTCAAGGTAGCAAAGACTTACTGTTACGCTATACAGAGGGTAGGGGTCCTTAAGGAAGCCTGCCCTGGTGGGCAGAGCTCCTTAGGGACCTTGCAACCTGACAAGAATGATGCTAAAGCTCTAACATACAACTATGTCATTCACTACTGGAAACCACAGGGAGGGGGGAGAGTTTCCTAAAGGGTATATTTTTGGTCTGTTATGTCTGTAACAAGATTGTTTCAGGAGTTGACATCTATAGCTTGACCTCTAGATTGCATACAGTAACTTTGGGCATCAGTACTTGATAGTTCTGCTGGTACAAGCTAGTCCTGTTCATACAAGAGGTTAGCTTGTTCTTGTAACAGGGAGAGATAGTTCACCTCACTAGGCCCACTCATGAGTCAGGTACCTTGGGGTAGAAGGAAACTGCCAGGGATAGTGTTTCTGAGGGTAGGGAGAAATATGATTTTGCAAGTGACATCCAGGTACAAGCACCCAAGTACCTCATCAGAACGAGGGATGTTTAATCTAAGGAAGAGAAGGCTTGGGGACTAGAGTGAGACAACATGATAGCTGTCTTCAAATACTTAAAAGGGCTGTCACGTGAAAGGGGAATTAGGCTTGTTCTGCTTGGCCCCAAAGGCAGAGAAGTAGGAGGTAGCGGGGTTGGGCTAAAGTTCCAAAGAGGCAGATTTATGCTAAATGTCAAGACCCCTAACAAACAGAAGTAAGCAAGAGTAGAATTTGCTGCCCCAGGACTATGGGTTTCTCTCACAATGGATCTTTTGAAGCAAAGGCTGGATAAGCATTTGTCAGGTATGTTGGACTAGAGGGCCTCTCAGAGTCCATGTTTCTGTAATGGTATGGCTCGTTAGTGGGGTGTCTCATGCATCTTTCCTCATCTCTCTGCCATTTGAAATAATTATCAATGACTGAGATGAAGAGTAGAGATGGCAGGCTTATCAAATCTGGAGATTACCAGATCTCTACACTGGAGTCAATGATATCTTGACAGGCTGCAACACTGGGCCAAAGTGAATAAGATTAATTTTAATACAGACAAATATGAAGTCCTATACTTGGGTTAAAAAAATTGACATCAGAGGAATAAGAAGGAGAAGGTATGGCTAAGCAACAATCTCTGTAAAACAAGACCTGAGAATGTTAGTAGACTCTAAACTTGATATGAATCAATGGTAAGATAGAGTAGCCTAAAAAAATCTGTTATCCTTGTCTGCATTAAGTGGTGCAGTGCCAGGATCAGAATGAGGGAGGTGACAATTCTATACTCTATCCCGACCATACCACGTCTCAATCACTGTGTTTAGTTCTGGATGCCACATTTTGAAAAGTGGAAGGAACAGAGAGGAGAAAGACCAGGATGGAGAAGAAACTAAAATCCTTACACTGTAGGACTGGTTGAAAGAACAGGGGTTGTTTGTCCTGGAGAGAAGACCTGGGAGAGATGGAGGGCATGACACTTGTCTGTAGTCTGTAAGTCCTGAAAGGGCTAACACATAGATGAAAGAGTAGACATTCTCATTGGCCCTAGAATGCAGATCTAGGAGCAAATGGTGACAACGAAGTATACTGAGAAATAGGCATCAGCTTGACAAAAGGAAAAATTTTTAGCCAATAGCAATCCCAAAGTGGGAATAGGCTACCTTGGGAGGTGGCTGGAGCATCACCAGAGCTCTTTAAAAGGCTGACAGTTTCTTGAATGATGTCAAGGGGATTCCTGTATGCTTATGTGTTGGATTAGATTAGATTAGATGGCCTCCAAAAACCTTTCAAAGAAGATCCTGTGATTTTATAACACAGGGAAAAGTGGTAGGTAGCTAAGTGTTCATCTTAAAATGGCCAAGTCTTGTCAAATTTTGACTTCAGCTTTATTTCTAGAAAGCACTGAAATTCTTATCAAGTCCTGCTGGCTTATGAGAGCATATTTAAGAATAAGGAGAATGGGGGGGATAAAGGGGAATTTTAAGAAATGTAAACACAAGATAGCAATAAACATTTATTTTTTTAAATATCCAGAAGAAAAAAGTTCAAAAAAGGTGATCAACAGGGGAGTTTTGTTACTACAGTGTTCAAATGAATTTACACTTAAAATTGTATATAACAGAAATTCATGGATTCATATACAACCCTCTTTTTTGTTTTTTGTCTAGCCAAGTGAGCACACTTGTTGATAATTTTAAGTTAATAAGAAAGAAAAAGGAAAAGAACAAAACAAAAATGAAAAAAAAAAGAATAAAGCAGAGTTATATTTTACATTAAGAAAAACATTTTACCTTAATTCGTGTAACAAATCATCAACATATTGTTTCCAGTTTTTTGGAAATCCAAATATAAACTTCCTAGTAAAACTAGCTGGAAACCCTTTTTAAAACAAAGAAATGGTAACACTGAAGTTAGTACTTTTTTCAAAGACAAAATTTTGGAGCAAAATAGCTAATTAATTATAAATAGCTAGAATTTCATTGCAACTTCTGATTTTCAGAGAAATGTTTCACTAAAGTTTGATTATGTTACTAACAGCAATTTATATTTTCAGCTTAATTAACTGACCCCCTGGAAAAGAGAAAATATTCTACTTCTCTTCCCAAACTTTTCAATTAAATTGAATTCAGTAAAAATTTCTTAAGAAGCTCACATGCATTTTACCTAACTAGGTATAAAAGGTGAAAATAAAAACATCCTTGGTTTGAAGGGGTTAATCTACTGGACCTGCAGATGACATAAATATAACACAAAGGCAGTGACTTCAATCTTAATATGCTAGGTTATTTTTCTATTTTATTACTAATTATTTTAACTGTTATAAAAACGTAGTAAGTCATCAAAACTAGAGATATATAGTCAGTTTATTATTACTTTAAAAATAAAAATAAAGAAAAATAAATTTTGCTCTTAAGTTTTTACCTGCTTCTTTCATGGAAATAGTGTCTATTGTTCCTTTTAATACATAGACATTGCCTGATATAGTCCTAAGTCTGTTGTAGTCAAGACGTTCAACAATTGCATTACTATGCCAATATAAGTCAGGAGTATCTCTAGAGAAAAGATGATTAAGATTCTTCAGTAAATATATCCTCAAATATTCACATTCAAGATTTACATGAACTCATCTTCATCATCACCTTAGCTAAAATTTATAAAGTGTTTTAATATTTACAAACAGCTTTGCATATATTTATTCTCTTATTCGATCCTCCCAATAACCTGTATAGCAGGTGCTATCACTACAAGTGGAAAACTGAGGCTGCCAGAGTTTAAGCGATTTGTTTGTCCAGGGTTACAAAGATAGTAAATGTCTGAGGCAAGATTCAAATTCAGGATTTCCCAAGTCCAAATCCAGTGCTTTATCTTATGTCACCTAATGTAAATAAGAACAAAGCAAAATTTCTGGTAATTTATACACAAACATTCAAGGATCTGTGATTTGGGCAGTGCTAAATTCCTAGTACAGGAACCTCTCAGGCTAACATAGATAGAATCCCATCTATAACTTTGGTAAGTAAGCACTAAAAAGTTGTCTGTAGTTCATAATAAAATTTTAAAAAGAATAAACTTCAAAATTCAACTCAAAGTTGATTTCCATCCACCAGGAAATGCCCCTAATTCTGCTCTATGGGGCCAAGTGGAACAGGTCTACCCCCTTTCCTAACTGACAGCCCTTTAAATACTTCAAGAAAAGCTATCATGTTCCCACTTAGCACTTCCTATATTCAATTTGAATAAAATAATTTATTGAAAACATATTAATATTGTATACTTACATCAATTTTCCTTCTACACATACAGCAGTGTTATTATTCATGTTCCTAATCATCCATTTCTGTAGACAAATTTCCTAATGAAGTATAAAACAAAGTACACATTCTTTCTATTAATTTCCTTAATGTTAATGGGGGAAAAAATACCTTACTTAAGTAACCTAACTTAAGAAAACCTAACTTTAACTGACGAGAACCCAAGAAGAAACACTGCCAAACTATTCCATTTTACTTTTAAAAAATGCCTGATTCTATGAACTTTATACTGCAACAGAAGGGACAAGAGAATGGAATTTTCAATATACTCTTCTTTTTCTATCTAGTAACAATTATTCAACTTCTTTAATACCTCCCACCATCTTCTAGCATCCTAAACAACTGAAAAGCCAATCTAAACTCCCCAACCACACTTTAAGACAACACAATACAGAAAAATATGCAGATTTATATAGCTCCTTAAAATTTACAAAATGCTTTCCTAAATTTTTGTTTTGTTTTTCAATTAACAAGAACTTAGTGTATCTCTCTGTTACTTCCCCTACTGAGGGAAAAAGGAAGAAAAAAACCAAACCCTTGCAATAATTACATATAATTTTTAAAAATTTTCCAGGTTAGCAATGTCCCAAAATCATGTTTATTCTTAATCTCAAATCCATTCTCTGGTACAAATCGAGTAGCGTACTTCTTGACTAGCACTACAGCATTGTGGTTAGTCATTGCCTTGATCAGGGTTAAGTCTTTCAAAGTTGTTAGTCTTTACAATACTGTTGTTGTTACATAAATTGTTCTGGTTTTGCTCACTTCAGTTTGCATCAGGTCATATAAGTCTTCCCAGATTTTCTTCGAAACCATCCCTCTCATCATTTCATACAGCACAATAATATTCTCATTACATTCATGTAACCTAATTAATCTAGCCATTTCTCTATCGGTTTCCAGTTCTTTGTCACTATATAAAAAGGGATGTTATAAATATTTTTGTATACATGGGCCTTTTCTTCTTTCTTTGATCTCTCTGGGGTATAAGTTTAATAGCAGCATCCTATATCAAGGGGTATGTGCATAGTTTAGAGACTTTTTGGACACAATCTTAAACTGCTTTCCAGAATGGCTGGGTCAATTCACATCTCCACCAATAATGTATTAGTGTGCCTGGTTTCCCACGTCTCCTCTAACATTTGTCATTTTCCTTTTCTATCATATTAACCAATCTGTAGGTTATCTGTGTGGAACCAAGGAGTTACTTTAATTTGCATTTCTTTGTTGTTAACAATTTTGTTCATGGAACAGCTTCTTTGTTTGAAAACTGCCTGTTATTATCCTTCGGCCATTTCTCACAAAATGTTTTTCTCACCACACTGTGAGGCAGATGATAGAAATACTAACCCAGTTTTGCAGATGAGGAGATTGGGGCTCAGAGCTGGCCCCAGATCAGTTAATGTCAGCACAAGAACTCAAACTCAAGTCTCCCCTGACCCCAAGTGAAGTTAGCACTCTTTTTCCTTACACCCCTCTGCTTTTCAAAAAGACTCAGGAATAAAAAAAATAAAAATAAAAAGACCAAAGAATGCAGAGAAGAAACTAGTCAGGTATAATACATTTACATTACCACAACTACTTCTCCTACAAGATTAAGGACTTTTCTTTCCATTAATAATCCAGTAGACTGTGTAGATTATTTTGCTTAGATAGGTTTTCTTTTTATTGTGTACTTTATTTTTAACTACTGAGATGACCTGCAATCTCCAGGTTATCTTGACCTTTCTGTGTATGAGATTGTAGCTTCTATAGGGGTACCTCTCAAAGGATGTGCAACGGTTTCTTCAGATTCTCCCCAAATGGACACTGTGAAGCTGATATAAATAAGGTACAAGTCTCCCTTCTACCTTTCCAGATAAATTCTTCAAAAATTTAAAAACAAGAATCTTTAAAACCCTAGAAGCTTGGATGGCTTCTCTTACTTATGGAAAGCTCAATTAATTCTTACTCTCAGAATCAGAATTTTACTAAATCATGCCCAGATACATATTAATAATAATTCCATCATTATATTACCATATCATTTTTAACTTTTTCCAAAGTATTGAGCTTAGGTTAGAGTTAGGAGGGCCTATATTTCAATCCCATCTTTGGACACCATGGGCAAGCTATATAAATTCTCTAAGCCTGTTTCTTCATCTGTAAAACTCAGATAATAATACTTGTAGAACACACCTCAAAGTGTCATCACGAAAATTAAATTTAAAAAAGGATCTAACAATTTTCAAGTTTTCAAATGTCAACTCATTATTTCCTTGCAACAAACATAGTTCTCCCACAAAATCCTACTCCAATGTTTTATTGTAAGAGTGGAGGTAAACTTGTATTCTTGTTTTCGGGGGTTTTTTGGTGAGGCAATTGGGGTTAAGTGACATGCCCAGGGTCACAGAGCTAGTAAGTGTCAAGTATTTGAGGCCGCATTTGAACTCAGGTCCTCCTGAGTCCAAGGCTGGAGCTCTATCTACTGTGCCACCTAGCTGCCCCTAAACTTGGATTCTTAATGCTAGACTAGTAAGAATACAAACTTTGGTATATTCTACTAAGCTGGAAAGGCTCTGGATACAACATCCACAACAGACTAAATCTGCTTTCTGAGGACCAGCCTGGCTAAGTATAGAGAGGCTCATCTCCAGCAGGCAGGCCAGAGAATGAATCAGACCAGACTCTGTTTGACGCTGAGGCAGCTAGGTGGTACAGCTAGGATTGAACACCAAGCCTGGAGTCAGGAAGATCTGAGTTCAAATACGGCTTCAGACACTTACTAGCTGTCTGACCCTGGGCAAGACACTTTAACCCCTATTTGCCTCAGTTCCTCATCTGTTAAATGGGGACACACTGGAGAAGGAAATGGCAAACCACTGTAGTGTCTCTGCCAAGAAAGCTCCATGGACTTTATCATGTAGAGTCAGATACGACTGAACAAGAAGACAATATTCGACCTTATTCTTCCCCCTACTCCTCTTCAGTTACACACAGAACTGATCATACCCTTGATCCTACCATGGTTCACAAAGTGTCCTATTTCCATACTCATGAACTCTGGAATTTTTTTAAATCTGTCTGTAATCTTTTATGAGTCCACCTTTCCCTATGCTTCATGATTCATCACTCTGTTCTCCATTCTCACTCTGACTGCCACTCTGTCCCTTCCTTAGTTCTACCTTAGGTTATCATCCCTGCACTTTCACATTTTTCTCCCTTTCTTATTTCAGCCCCCAATAAACCAATTTTAAGCTATATTATCCTTTAATTCCTCAATCCCTTGCCCCCTTGTCCTGTTACTGATCACACTATCCCAAGCTACTATCCTGGATTATGCTCACCATCTGCCTCCTTTATTCCAATTTATACAGTGCTGAACTGAGCTGGAGAAAATCATAAAACCATGCAATCAAAAATTATAAAACAAACCAAGCTGATTTGCTCCACTACAAATTTATGTTACAACTAGGCCCTCATTGCAGCAACACAATGCTTCTCTAAACCTTTTGGCCCCTCCTCAAGCCTCCTATAACACCACAATTCGGCCTTTACCTTCTCAGTTGAGGTCCATCTCATACTTTAACTTGAAAAATTGCGGCCATTCTCCAACAGCTCCCTCTTTTTTCCCTCCTCCTTCTCTTCCATAATTCAGATGTCTTCTCCCACTATCTCCTTATTCATTCCCATCTATAACGAAGACATCTCTGATGAAGATGAAGACTGCCCTTCTCCTCAACACAGCAAACTCTTCTACACGCAAACATTATCTGTAATGGAGATAAACTAGAAGCCTTTCCAATAAAACTAGAAGAGAAGTAAGGATGTCTATCATCACCATTATTATCCAATATTGTATTAGGAATGTTAGGGATAGCAATAAGACAAGAAATTGAAGGAATAAGACTAGGCAAGAAGAAACAAAACTATCACTTTTTGCAGACAATATAATGGTTTACTTAGAAAGCCCTAGGGTATCAACTAAAAAGCTAGCCAAAACAATTACAAACTTTAGCAAAGCTGCAAGATTATTCACAAATCATCAGCATTTCTATATATTACCAACAAAACCCAGCAGGATGAGATAGAAAGAGAAATTCCATTTAAAATAACTTGCATACAGTATAAAATACTTGGGAGTCTACCTGCCAAGACATACCCAGGAACTATATGAACACAATTACAAAACACTCTTCACACAGATAAAGACAGATCTAAATAACTAGAGAAATATTCATTGCTCATGGGTAGGCTGAGCCAATACAGTAAAAATGACAATACTACCTAAATTAACTGACTTATTCACTGCCATACCAATCGAACTACCAAAAACTTACTTTATAAAGCTAGGAAAAAATAATAAAATTCACCTGGAGGAACAAAAGATCAAGAAAGGTGAGAAGTCTACAAGTGTGGTATATTGCACATATTTTCAGACTTTTTGCTGTATTTTTATATTATGCTCCCTCCCCCTTCTCTCTTTAAAAATATTTGTTATATGGGATGGCTCTCTGGGAGAGGTGAGAAGGAAAGATACTGGGAGAAACTAATGCAAAAACAAATGCTCTCAAAATTTTGTTTGAAATAAGAAAAAAGAAAGGACTTCATATATTTCTTAGCTTTACTTGGCAGATTTGGCAGTGGATTAGATATGGGGAATGAATGAAAGTGAGAAGTTGAGGATGACACTGAGTTTTTAAGCCAGGTAACTATAGAGATGGTGGTATTCTCAACAGTGAGAGGGAAATTAGGAAGGCAGGAAGGTTTAGGGGGAAACATGAGTCCTGTTTTAGACATACTGAATTTGAGATTCTCATGGGATAGCCAGTTTGAAATGTCAAGAGGAAGTTGGTGATGCAGGACTGTAACTCAGGAGAGACAAGGGCTAGACATATGCCTAGATCTGAGGATCATCTGCACAGAGATAACTTAACCCACGGAAACTGATGAGATTATCCAAGTGACATAACAGAGTGAAAAGAGAAGGAAGCAAAGGACAGAATCTTGAAGCACTGCCATGGGTTAGCAGGCCTGACATGGATAAAGAATCAACAAAAGAGACAGAGAAGGGTCAAACAGGTAGGACAGGTAGGAGGATGTCCTGGAAGGAAAAGCACTATGAAAATCTAGAGGAGAGAATATCCAGAAGGTGAGCACGTGTTAAAACGCTGCAGAGGTCAAAAAAGAAGCTAGACTGAGAAAAGAAATTAGATTTGGCAACTAAAGAAATCACTGGTGATTTTGGAAAGGGTAGTTTCAGTTGAATAAGATCAAAAGCCAAACTGTAGAGGGTTTAGAAGAAAGCGACAGGAGAGGAAGTAGAGGCACCCAGCAGAAAACTATCCTCAGGAGATTAGCCACAAAAGGGCAAGAAGCCATAGGTTAGGGCAGCTAGGTGGGGCAGTGGATAGAGCTCTGGTCAGGAGGACCTCAGTTCAAATCTGGCCTCAGACACTTGACACGTACTAGCTGTGTGACACTGGGCAAGTCACTTAACCTCCATTGCCTCACCAAAAAGCAAAACCAAAAAAAAATACTAAGCAATTTTAAAGCGGCAGCTAGGTAGTGGCCCTGAAGTCAGGAGGACTTGAGTTCTAATCCGGCCTCAGACACATAACACTCACTAGCTATGTGACTCTGGGCAAGTCATTTAACCTCAACTGCTTCACAAAAAAAAAAAGCCATAGGTTAACAGCTAGTGAGTATGGTAAGATCTAGGGTTTTTTTTAAGGATCTCAGAAACATAAGCATATTTGTAGGCAGCTGGGAAGGAGTTAATAGATTAGATATGGAGAGCTCTACCAACAATGCATTAGTATGGAAAGCAATTTGAAATAAAAAACCAAACCAACTGAAAAAGCGACTAAAATACCTATACCCTTTGATCCAGAGATTCCACTGTTAGGTATATATCCTGAAAAGGTAACTGACCTTCAAAAAGAAAGGCTCCATATACAACAAAATATTTATAGCAGGACTTTTTTGAGATAGCAAAGGTAGGGAAACAAAGTAGATGTCCATAATGGGAGAATAACTAGACAAATAATGTAATATAATGGTTCTGTAAGAAATCACAAACATGATGAATACAGAGACTTGCATCATTTTCATACAGAAAGACTTTCACAAACTGTAAGAGTAAGGAAAATTAACATATACTGGCTATAGCAATTTAAATGAAAAAGAACTATTGCCACAAAACAATCAAAACTGTACATTGCAAGATTATAAAGAACAAACTCATTTCCAAAAAAGAGGTATGTGAAAATATTTCCCTACTGCTTCTTGGGAGCAGTTAGGGTCCTCAGGTGTGGAACACCGCATAAATGAGGTTGGTTGGTTTGCTTGTTTTTTTCAATGTGCTGACCAGCACTGCTGATTTCTTTTCCTCTTCTTCCTCTTTAAAAAAAATTACTTTTTATATGGGATGGTTAAGCTGGGGGGTGGAAAGGTAGGGAGAGGGATACAGGACAAAATCTAGGTGATATAAAGAAAAAATATCAATAAAATCTATTTTTTTAAAAAGAACTATCTTGGGGCAGCTAGGTGGCACAGTGGATACAGCACCTGGAGTCAGGAGGACCTGAGTTCAAATCTGTCCTCAGACCAAACACTTGACATTTAATAGCTGTGTGACCCTGGGCAAGTCACTTAACCCCAACTGCTTAAAAATTAAAAAAAAAAAGAGCTATCTTAAGTAGACAAGAAAACACACAAAACCACTATAAAAATGTAATTGGAAAGAACAACAATAACAAAGAATACAAAACACTCAAAAGTGAATTATAAAGAAGCTTGGCACCAAAGGAAAAATATTAGAAGATACTTCCCCCCTCCTTCTTTGTAGAGGTCAGTGTCCACAGGTGTAGACGTAGAACATCAGATTTGTTGATCAATTTTGCTAAATTGCTTTTTATCTTTTTCCTCTTTTTAAAATTTTTGTTACAAGGAATGGCTCTCTGGGATTGAGCAAGGGAAGGAAATCTAGGCAATATAAAAAAAAAAAAGACAGCAATAAAGGGCAGCTAGGTGGCACAGTGGATAGAGCTCCGGCCTTGGAGTAAGGAGGACCTGAGTTCAAATCGGACCTCAGACACTTGACACTTACTAGCTGTGTGACCCTGGGCAAGTCACAACTCTGACTGCCTCACCAAAAAAAAAAAAAGATAGCACTAAAAATCTGTTTTTAAAAAGAATAAATCAAATGAAGAAGCACAAAGGATGACATTATAGAGATTCATGATGAGAAGAGAACAAAGGTTCATCACACGGTAAAGGCAAGTAAGAATCAATGGACAGCCTGCATTTTTTAATAGTATCCGTACAACGTCAAGAAAATTAAAGGAAAGTACATTAAGTGGACTGAAGATGGAGAGACATGGACAAGAGCTTCACAAGACCAGCAACATAAACAAGTTATGATCGACATTGTTGAAGGAAGTATCCACATCAAAGAAAAGACTGACATTACAACATAAGGGAAGAAGTGAAGGCTGGTTATTAACCATCCTCATTAACTATCCTTTTGTAACAAATGGTTACAAAATAGATCAATGACTTCCCAATGGTCATATTTAATTAGCTGAAGAGTCAGGTCAAGAACAAATGACTCCTCAGCCTTTTTTCTTTCCATTAGACCACATTTTCTCAATAGGTAAGCTTGTACTGTATCTTCAATTAGGTAAACATTGGTTATTTAAGGTTGTCTTTCAATGTACTCTAGGAAGCCCATCAAATCTAATCATTTGAAGAACAGCAGCAGGGAAAACATAAAGTATGTCTACTTCCTGCTTCCAATTAACAACAAATAATAAGAAGAACAAAAGCTTTAGAAATGTTCCTACCTTTTTTTTGGTAGTGAATGCATTTTTATTGGTGTTTGATACACTAGTGGAAATCTTAGAAACTTTTTTCTCTGGTGCTACTACGCGAGTTTTAGGAGCTGCAGTCAAAACTTTGAACATATCTGATGCAGAACCCTGTTGGACAGTCTTAGAGATTTTTTCTTCATTTTCTTCACTCATTTCCTGTTCTAATGATCCTTTTGTAGGCACTTCACTGTCACATTTTGATAACTGGCTGCCCGTGTTAGCTGGTACCCGGTCGACACTGACACCATTAATATTAGGACTTTGTGATCTTTCATCATCAGCATCGACGCTTTCCAAAATAAGGGTATTAGACAAGCTGAATTCAACACTTGTAGTTCTGTTTTTATCGTCTTGAATGAGCTTGGCAGAGCTGGCTAATGCTTCACTCAGAATTACTGAAGTTGAAATATTTTCATGTCTGTCTTTCGAAGTTGTAATGTCTGCAGAAAACCATTCAAATTGTATTATATTTATAAGGAATTATAAGGCTATAAAGTGTAAACAGAAATGCTTAAAGTTTTAAATACAAACATTCAAAAAGAGCCAAGTTCTTCTTCTACCCAAAACTTTCCTTTAAGCCTTCCCACTTAAGTCTTAAGACTCCAACTTTTTACATAATTAGGTTTTTTTTTAAATGGTAAAGGCATAAAAACTTGATTTTACAGAGAGGAAGAAGAAAGGGGAAATAATCATTTTCTGAATGTTAGTTGAAGTTTTAATTCACACTGATACTGAAAACTATTCATCAATGAAACTGTGTAGGAACAAAGAACTTACCATAAGTCAAATTCTGATGAGAAGACTGGTTTTCTTGCTGATGTGGGATCTTTTGTTTTACTGGAAGGAAAAATTTATTCTGGAAATTTATCAGGGGAGCCTCACTAGGTAGGGAAGAGGTTTTTCTTTCTGAAGAAACAGAAGGTTCACCTGTACAAATCAGTGAAGATAAAGAAAACACATTTATTCAGAAAACAAACATTTAATGATTAAATAGACTTCATTACAGCAATATAGGATATTTACTTGGGTATTTTCTAACATGTATAACACCCCACTTATGTTCCCTGTTCCAATGCCATTTGATTATACCCCTCACAACTTGAAGGTGGAATTTTTTTTTTAATCTACATATATGAAATTGGTAATATAGTACAATAGAACAACAGTCTGGGATTCTGGAGATACAAGTTCTATTCCTATTTTCATCACTAACTATCTGACATCAAAAAGCAAAATAAAGTAAATACAGTGACAAGACTTTTCCAAAAAGTTTCATGGGTTGAGAGAGATTTCAAGGTCCACCTAATCCAATGTGTGTACTTAAATAGCTTCTGTACAAAACATCTGACAAATGGCTAGCCAGCTTTTGCCTGAAGACCTTTAGTGAAAGAAATCCAATACTACTTCCTATAACAGCAGGTTCTACTTTTAGATAGCTCTAATTACCTTGAAGTTTCTCCTTATATCAAGCCCAAATCTTCCTCTAGGTAACTTTTACCCACTGCACTTAATTCTGTTTTCTGGGATGAAACAAAATAAAGCTAATCTCCTTTCCACAGAACAGTCTTTTAAAGGCTTGGAGCAGCCTACCTCACCAAGTCTCTACTTTTCTAAGATAAAACATCCTCAGTTTCTGTTATGGGAGGGTATACTCTAGGCCACTAATCATGCCACCCACCTTCCTTTGGCTACACTTCCCCTTATCAGTGAACTTCCTAAAATGACAATAAACCTAAACCACCAGACCTGGTTTAACCAAAGCAGAAACACTCTCACATCTGTCTTTCTTGACATGATGCTTCTCTTAAGGGCGAGTGAGACTGCATTGGCATTTTTGGCTACTGGTTTACACCACAGATAGATTCATATTGAGCTTCCGGTCCATTAAAACTCTCAGATGTTTTCCATCTGAACTTGCCTACCTCTTCCTCTATCTTGTACTTGTGGCACTGATTCTTTAAACCCCAGGTATATGAATTTACATTTCTATTTCATCTAGTCTTCTTATGTTAGATTTTAACACTTCATTCCAGCCCAGGCCTGCACAACCCGCAAATGTTTTCCTCTTCATTTTTCTCAGACTGCCAAAATCCTTTGGTGTGCCACAGGCTGTGCAGGCATGTTCTGGCCTATTAGAAACTTCTGAATTCTGCCATTCAACGTATCCTTTTTAGTTTTGTGTCATCTACAAATTCAACAAGTAAGCCATTTATGCCTCATTCAAGTCACTTATAAAAATAAACAGTGGAAGCACTTCTACTCAAGACCATTCTTCAAGCCTCCCAGTTAAGTCATTACTCATGATTCTTTAAATCTGACTGTTCAATAAGTTCTGAATCTGGGGCAGCTAGGTGGCGCAGTGGATAGAGCACTGGCCCTGAAGTCAGAAGGACCTGAGGTTGAATCCAGCCTCAGACCAAACACCTGGCACTTACTAGCTATGTGACCCTGGGCAAGTCACTTAACCCCAACTGCCTAAAAATAAAAAAAAATAATAATGTTCAATAAGTTCTGAATCTACCTAAACTGTACTCTATCTCCCCTCAATATTGACGTCCATTTTAATCCCCAAGTGCTTTTTTCCCTCACATGCACCCTACAATTCATTCAAGTTTTTTTTTATCACTTTACAAACATTTATTTATTTATTAATGTATTAATTTATTTATTTTTGCCTAGGCAATGGGGTTAAGTGACTTGCCCAGGGTCACACAGCTAGTAAATGTTATGTGTCTGAGGCCACATTTGAACTCAGGTCCTCCTGAATCCAGGGCCAGTGCTCTATCCATTGCACCACCTAGTTGCCCTGCAAACTTTTAAAGATAAAGCTCTTACTATCAAATACTACTCTTAAATAACAGGTACGATATCAAACTTCCATATCAGCACAATGTTCTCAAGAAAAAATTATGTTGAGTTTTCCAAAATTCATGTAGATTATTCCTTATTCTGCTTCCTAGGATCTTATTCTCCTAAGTATTGAAGAAGCTTTAGATATTGAATAATTTAGTAATTTTTAAAATACTGTACAAGACAACAGGCTTCTGGGATTCCTTGAAATAAACTGTTTATTAACCACACTATGATTCAAACCTCCCAATTCAGAAAACCAATACAGATGGGTTCCAAGATATTGAAAAATTTAACCATGGTTTAGGCCTTATTCTTTTTAAAAAAAATAATAATTTTTCCCACTTACATGTAAGAACTATGTTGACATTCTTTTTTCAAATTCTGAGTTCCAAATTCTCTCCCTCCTTCCCCTCTGCTCCTCATTGAGGAGGCAAGCAATTTGATATGTTATACATGTGTGGTCATGCAAAACACATTTCCATCTAAGTCATGCCGTGAGAGAAAAGACAGATAAAAAAAAACCCAAGAAAAATAAAGAAATTTGACCTACATTCAGGCTCCACCAGTTCTTTCTCTGGGGATGGACAGCACCTTTCATCATTAAGTCCTTCAGATTTTTCTTGGATCATTTTATTGCTGAGAATAGCTAACTTATTCACAGATCATTATAAAATATTGCTATACAATGTTCTCCTGGTTCTGCTCATTTCACTTTGCATCAATTCATACACGTTTTTTCAAGTTTTTCTGAAATCTGCTTGCTCATCATTTCTTATTACACAATAATATTGTGTATTACATTCATATGCCATAGCTTGTTCAGCCATTCCCCAATTGATGGGCATCCTCTCAATTTCCAATTTTTTGTCATCACAAAAAGAGCTGCTATAAATATTTTTGTACTTGTAGGTTCTTTTCATTTTCTTATTTCTTTGGGATACAGACCTAGTAGTGGTATTGTTTAGTCCAAGGGTATGCATGGCTTTATAGCCCTTTGGGCATAGTTCCAAATTGCTTTCCAGAATGGCTGAATCTGTATACAACTTCACTAACAGGGCATTAGTGTTTTAATATTCCCACATCCCCTCCAACATTTGTCATTTTCCTTTTTTTGTCATACTAGTCAATCTGATAGGTGTGTGGTGGTGGCTCAGTTTTTTAATTTGCATCTCTAATCAAGTATTTAAAAGCATTTTTTCATATGACTATAGAGAGCTTTGATTATTTTGCCTGAAAACTGACTGTTCATATCCTTTGACCATTTATAAACTGAGGAATGGCTCTTATTTGTATAAATTTGACTCAGTTCTCTATATATTTCTTTATCAAGAAACTTTAGGCCTTATTCTTGACACACAAAAGATACTTAGTACCACAGATGTTGAAAGCCAATATAACAAACTCAAGAATACTTAACGCTACCAAAATTTTGTTATAAGGAATATACTGTTATTAGTGGAACCAATGACTGAGACTTAAGAATAATAACATCAAAAAAATTCTGCAATGATATTTGTTATAAAGACAAATTTGTTTGTCTGCTTTCAGTTCCACTCAACTGGAAATGGGCAGGGAATGACAGGAAAGGTCAGCAACTACCTGAATCAGTTCTGTCCCAATGCAAATACTTCTCTCTTTATAGGACCAATGCCCAACAGAGATGTGCATTTGCGTCTCTTCTCAGGCTACCTGAGTGGACGGAGGGAGAGTAAGGAAGAAGTAGTCCATTCTGAAGCACTACTTGGTCTCTCAACTTTTAACCTCTTTTGAGAAGATTTGTCTATCTCAAATCGGCCCCCCCACCCCAACTCCCATGGCTCCCTACTGCTGACAGCATCAAATACAAAATTCTCTGGTATTCGAAGCTCTACATAATCTACTCCCCCTACCCTTTCTAGTCTTCTTATACCTTAAACACAACAAATATTCTTGAATCCAGAGACACTGACCTTCTTGTTGTTCCTTGAACCAGGCATCTTCCCCACTCCGGGCATTTTCTTTGGGCATTCTCCCTCCCTCATCTCTGCCTGCTGGCTTCCCTGACTTCCTTCAAAGGCCAGATAAAATCTCACCTTCTACAAGAAGCCTTCCCTAACCCCTCTTACTTCTAGTGCTTTATCTCTTAATTATTTTCCACTTCTCTTGTATATAGCTCGTTTATACATATTTGTTTGTTGGTTGTCTCTCCCATTAGACTATGAACTCTTGGACAGCAAGGATTGTCTTTTGCCTCTTTTTGTATCCCCAGTGCTTAGCACAGTGCCTGACATATATACATGGTAGGTGCTTAATAAATGCTTATTCACCGACTGAAGAATTTCCTTTGAACCTTCCACTCTCTACCTAAAATCATATGCAACAGTGAAAATCTGGGTATTTATTTCTAGATTAGAATACATCCTTGCCATAAAAATGTATCGATACATACACAATCTTATCCTTTAACTAGTTTTGCAATTACCTAATTTCTCACTTTTAAAATAATTAGCACTAACCTAAGTAATAAGACTAACCTGAAAATGAATGATCATCTGATGACACTTTGTGAAAATCAGGAAAGCCAGAAATAAAAGTCTTATCCAGTGAAACAGGACTCAAGATCACATCTCTCTGACTTCTCTGTAACTCCAACGATATATTGTCTTTCAGTGACTGCTTTTGTGAAGCTTCTTGTGCCCTTGTTTTCATTCTTTGAAATATTTTTGCAGGAGAGTCATAGGTTACAATGTCAAAAGTTTTGTTTCCCTTGAAAACTTCCTCATTTGGAAAAAATGTTGCTTCTTTGTGTTCATTAGCTTTTTCGTCAGAGCCATCCGAAAAATTGTCAGAGCCAAGGTTACCGGCTATTATTGTTGACCGAAGTGAACTGATTTCATTCTTACACTGTTCTGTTTCTGGGCTCAAGTGCTCTCCAAGGTCATTTGTATTGTTGTTGTCATTTAAATTGTTGTTTTTATATTTCACTAAATCTTTTAATGGTGTAAGAGTTTCTGAAGGTATATTTTTGGAAAGAACTGCATTAATCGGTGCATTTCCTCTTCTAAGAGAATTCAATGAAAACTTTGGTGTTTGTGGACTTTGTGGACATGATGTAATCATCTTGATAAGACTACCCAAAAAAGTCCTTTAAAAGAAAAATTATTTAAAACTAATTGTTCACAGTAAAACTTCAAGGGAAAACGGGGAAAGTAGAATTCAAGAAAACTTCCATTTTCTTCATGGTTTTATCTAGAATAAAATTTTAAACTGTTATTCATAACATTAAGAATATTTTTCACTGATTAAAAGGATGTGTTGACTCATCAAGTCTAATGTAATTTATGCCAAACTTATTTGAACATCTGTATTCATATGATTTGTTTTGGAGGGAAAATCCAATTTTTAATATTAGGTCTTTAATAGCTAAACAAAGCCTACATAGATAGATGAAGATATTCAAATAAGTAAACATTATCACCTTATCCACTCATCAGTTCCATGAAGTGTTATACTTATTTCTGTAAAAACTGATTAAACTTCAAGAATCTGAGGAACTACTCTACTCTACTATATGGCATCTTATCAGAATATTTATTAAATATCAATTTGCATATAACCTTATAATAGGCACCATAATGAAAGGTTTCACAGATATAAACTCTTCCTTTTAGCTACCTTCAGTTTAGGGTTTATAGCTATACAATGACACATCTATATGAAAACTGGGAAAAAACCCATTAAATTATTTAGAACAGTAATTCACAATCTTAATTTTGTGACAATCCAGGATATCACTAATCAAAGGATGTACACAAAATATCAAAACAAGTTAATTTTAATACATATGCCCTATTATAGAGCTTATAGGAAGAATTATATGCTTGCTGATACAATGCCTTATAAGTGTTCTCTATTTCTTTCATGTATTTTTTTCTGTCTGTATGTTCCTCCTGAAAGGATGGGACCATGTCTTTCACTTCAGGCAGGTATCTTTGACAGTGTACAGCAGTGGTATCAAACTCAAACAGAAATAGACCCCTTCAGCCCACATACTGATTTTGAAAACCACAAATTAACATTGTCTATGTTGTACTGTATTTTTATTTATTTTGTTAAAACATTTCCCAATTACATTTCCAGCAGCTTGTGGCCATCAGGCCTCAAAGTTGACACCTGTCCTAAGAGCACAATAGGGACAGGGATTAGTTATCATGACTTCCAAGGCTCTAGTTTCTTTGAAGGGGTTGGACTAGATAACAATAATAATGATAGCTAGTATTTATATAATGCTTTAAGGAAAAGGTATCAAACTCATAGCCAGAGAGTATCTGTAGCCAGCAAAACTGAACCAGATTAAAATGTTATAGGGAAATGTTTAATATAATAAATAAAAATAGAACATAGTAAGTGTTCATCTGCGGTCTTCTGAGTCCATATGCAGCCTACAGGGATCTGTTTCTATTCAAGTTTGACACCATCACTTTAACTTCAGCTTTTATCTTTAGCTGGCCTTGCTTTAGACAAGAATGGAAGCTAATCAGTAGGGACCAGAAAATGCCTGAAGACCTGACAAAAATCCCTAAATGTTAAGATTCAGTTAATGTAGAAGAAAATTACTTTTTACTTTATAGGAAGCAATAAGTTATCGTAAATTTTTGTATAGTTAATTTACCTATAATAAGAAATTAATAGAGGCCACAACCCTATTTAGGTATACACTGAAACAGACTTCCCTTTTCATTAAAATCCTCATCAGTTCCTTGATGAATGATCCTGACTTCTTGAGGAGCTGGCTCCCTTCCTAAGCTTGCATATACTTATTGGGTACACATCACCAGAAGGTTTGTGAGTAGGTGATAATATTGTTTTAACTGCCACAACTCACTAATACCATAATCTAAGGTTACCATCTTATACCGTTAAAGAAAATACTCAACCCAAGGAAAGCATGGATCATTACAATATATACTAAAAAACTCCAATTATTGGCAATACTAAGGTTTAAACCAGCCAGATTTTAAGTTAAGAAAAATCTAGGCTATATTCTGAGGAATGCACTAAATAAATTAATATTGAATAAGTATATGAATGAAAGAAACGATGAAGTGTGATTTAATTACCATTTCCAGTCTGTCCCCTATGCCTGGAATGCTCTTTCCTGACCTCCCTGGCTCCAAGTCCCAACTAAAAGTCCACCTTCTACAGGAAGGTTTCCTAACTTTCTTAATTCCAGCATTTTCCCTCTTTTAATTGTTTCCTGTATATAGCTTGCTTTGTACATATTTGTTTGCATGTTGTTTCCCCCATTAGATTGTGAGCTCCTTGAGGGCAGGGACTGTCTTTTGCCTCTTTTTGTATTCCCGGGACTTAGCATAGTGGCTGGCACATAACAGGAGCTTGATAAATGTTGATTGATTAAAATCTACTATCCTGCCTTTACTCTTTGTTGACCTCCAATCCTGTCTACAATCTCCTTTCAGATATCTCAACCTGGATGTCAAATACACATCTTAAACTCAACAGGTTCAAAACAGAACTCAGCATCTTTCTCCCAAAGTCTCCCTCTTATCTCCCCCCCCAATCTTTCCCTTATTAGAGGGCAACACCATCCTCTCAGTTCCTCGGGCTCACAGCCTAGGTGTCATCCTGGATTCCTCACTGTCTCTCACCCCCCACATCCAAGCTCCCGCCAAGGCCCGTCCATCTCCCCTCTGCAACATCTTTCAAATACACCCACTCTTTTCTCACTTCCACCACTCTGGTACACTCACCTCATTTCTGGACTATCTGGATAGTCTGTTGGTGGGTCTGCCTGCCACAAGTCTCTTCCCACTTCAAAACACTCACCATTCAGTCATTAAAATGATTTTCCCAAGTACAGGTCCAACTATGTCAACTGCCCCAATCAATAAACTCCAGTGACTCCCTACTGCCACCAGGACCAAACACCAATCCTCTCTTTAGCGCTGGAAGCTCTTCATAAGCTACTCCTTTCCCCCTTCCAGTCTTCTTACATCTTATTCTCCTACACACCTATTCTCCAATTCAGTGACACTGGCCTTGATGTACAGGACACCTCATCTTTCTGGTCCAGGCATCTTCTCTGGCTGCCCTACATGCCTGGAATACTCTCCTTATTCATCTTTCCCTACTGATTTTCCTGGCTTCCTTTAAATCCTAACTAAAACTCCTTTTTCTACAGGAAGCCTTTCCCAAACTTTATTTCCTTATTTATAACCTCTTTCTCTCGTATATGGCTTGTTTGTATGTATTTGTTTGACTTGGAGAAGAAAAGCAATTAGGTAAATGCCTTGCCTAAAACAGACTCACTCAGAGCTATGAGAAGGGAAGGAGAGTAAGGAGGCTGCCCCAGGAGGGTCAGGGAAAGTAGGGCAGGACTTCATAGACCCATAAATTTGATGCTAAATGGGGGCCCTTTAAATCGCTGGGTCCAAATCCAACATTTTACGGATAAGGAAACTCACACTTTCAGAAAGTTGAGTGACTTGCCCAAGGTCACATAATAGGTAGTAAATAGCAGAATCTGGATGGAACTCCCCGTCCTTTAACTAGAAATCCAGCATTCTTCCCATTACCTTACTATGGCAGAACAAAGGGAGAAGCAATTAATAATCGAATAAATTAACACGCATTTGTTGAGTCCCCTATGTCCTGGGCACCGCGCTCTCCAGGAATTTACAGATTCTACCGGGAGGGAGGGGCTGACACCAGACAGGCGGGTGTCCAGGAGGGAGGGGAAGGTCCCCCGCGCAGCTTGTTCGAAGGACTGTGTTCAGAAGTCGGGGAGACTTGAGCGCGTGGGCCGGAGGAGGCCGGAGGCTGCCCCGGAGGGGGACGCACGGAGGCAGCCGGTGCCGGCGCAAGGACGCCGGAGCACGCGGCGGTGCGGCCCAGGGGAGGGAGGGCAGAGGCCGACAAAGACAGAGGAAGAGGAGCGGGGAGGGCGGGAAGCGCGTTCCAGCGGCTGCCGGGCCTCTGGCTCCCTGCAGACACACAGGCCCCGCCCTCCCTAGCTCCCGGGGGCCCCGAGAGCGCCCAGGCCCCGGCGGCGGGGGCGGAGCGGGCTCCGGGAGCCCTCGGCCCGCCTAGCTCCGGCTCTCCCCGCCGCAGAGGGTCGGCCCCAGTCCGGGCCAGCGCCAAAGCGCGGGGGGCCTGGGGCGGAGGGGACGGAGCAGCCCGCCAGGACGACCACCCAAGCTCCCGCCGCGGGCGTGCACACTCACCCCGCTTGGCTCGGTTCGGGTTCCTCCGCTCGCCCGCTACCGACAGCCACACCGGCTTTTAGTTCAAACTGCGGGCACACGCGCGCCCGCCGCCGCCAGACCGTGCGCGATTGGTGCATCCCGACGTCTCGTCGTTGTACGTCACGGCGCAAGCTTGTAAAAAAAGGCCCCGGGCGGGAGTGGCTGCACTAACCCTGCAGAGGCTTTGCAGCTGTAGAGTGTGCAGGTGGCTGGCTTCCGACTCGGAGGTTACGGTTATTGGCCTTGCCAGTTCGTTCCTCGGGCCCGGTTTCTTCATCTGCAAAATGGAGACGAGATAGGCGTCTTCGAGGCCATCGGGCGATCTCCGGGCTCGGCTTACGTCCGAACTCGCTAAAAAAAGTGTGCAGAGCTTAAGTCAACCTTCTTGGGGACAGATTTTCTGCAGGACTTTTTGCTTAGGTCCTGTAGTCTGCGCTGCCATACTTAGATTTTTCTTTTTCGTTCGAGGAGGCCTTCTTAAGTAGAAACTGCAAACAAAGCTTGCCTTCCCGTATGATTTCTTAAATGGAGGAAAAGCCGAAGAATTACCCCGTGAACTTGCCTTATAAACTAAGCTCCTTTGTTTTCATTCTTTGTACTTGTATCCCCAGCTCCCAGCCCAACTGCCCTGCACGTCGTCGTGGACACTTAAATGCTTATTGATTTGGCTGAAAAACGAAACATGAATTGTAACAGCAGTTGCTGGTTGTGAAGCTACATTCTTGCAGAAGCTGGAAAGGTTTTAGCTAAGTTCTGGAAGCTTGGTGTGAAGTAGGGTCCAAATTCTTGCACTTACTACGACTGTAACCTTCCCTACTGGTACAAAAGTATCTACCTATCCACCTACATTTGGGGAGCAGTGTGGAAAGGAATAAATACCAAATGAGTAATCAGTATATGTTAGGCTTTTTCTCTCTTCCAAGTTATTAATTCTAGATGTCCTGGTGTTAATGTAATGACCTTTTAAAAATAATATGTGACATAGAGCACGGAATTTGGAGTCAAAGTTCCAACACTGGGTTTGAACTGTGCCTCTCACTTGAATTGTGACCCTGGGGCCTTAGCTTCCTTTTTGGTTAAATATAATAGTTGTAACACTAATAACCTCCACACTGTTGTGAAGATCTGATGAAATAATGTGTGGAAAATCACTCTACAAAATAGGGATAGGGACTGGTTTCGCTGAAGAACATTTTTATCAACTGACTTAGTAAGTGCCTACTATGACACATCCTAGGTACTTAACTCTACTATGTGCTGGGGTACAACTACAGAAGTGGGGTAGTCCCTGCTCTCATGGAGCCTACATCCTATGGAGAAGATACGTATATTAACAAATACGTATATACAAAATAAACAAAAGGATGAAGGAATCAGGAAAGGTCTTGTGGTGTCATGAAAGGTGAGCGCTGCTGGTGGGGAGGGGTTATTGGAATGCTACCTGGTAGAACCAAGGAGGGAGAACATTTCAGGCATGAGAGGCAGCCAAGAAAAGAGATGAAATGTAGGATAGATGAAAGGATGACAAGTAGGTCAATTTGTCAGGAATATCAATGCACAAGGGTGAACATACATGTAAGAGGGAAAGATAAGCTGTAGCCAGACAGTCAAAAGCCCTTAAATGCCAAATAGACTTTATTTTTCTATTGCAGCTTTTGTGCCAGGGGGTGGCTGTACACATACACATACGTATGTGCACATATATGCACATATACAAGTATATACATATATGCACATATATGCAACATTGTGTGTGTTTTAGAAATGTCAATTTGGCAGCTTTATTGAAGGATGGATTGGAGAGGGTAGAGAAATTGGATGGGAAGAGACCATTAGGAGCCTATTTCAGTAGTCCAAGTCAAGATGTGATAAGAGCGTCTGGTTGTGGTGAGAAAAGTGAACAAGATTAGAGATATGTTGAAGAGGCAAAATTGATAACAGGTAACTAAACTGGATCTGGATAGCGAATTGGGGCTGGTTAATGAGAGTGAAGAATCTGAGAGGATGGCTCCTATGTGAATCTGGGTGACTGAAAGAATGGTGTGCCCTCAACAGAAGAAATTTTCATTGTTCAGTCATGTCCAGCTCTTTGTGATCCCATTTTGGGGTTTTCTTGGCAAAGATACTAGAGTGGTTTGCCATTTTCTTCTCATTTGACAGATGAGGAACTAAGGCAAACAGGGTTAAGAGGCTTGCCCAGGACTGCACAGCTAGTGTCTGAGGCCATATTTGAACTCAGGAAGATGAGTCTTCCTGATTCCAGGACCTACCCTTTATCCACTGAGCTACCTAGCTGCCCCAACAGAAAGAAATAGAGAAATTCAAAGAAGGAATGGTTTTAGGGGAAGACAATAAATTGTTTTGGACATGTTGAGTTTGAGATGCATATGGGAAATCCAAGTGAAGACATACAACAGGAAGAATTTATAATAATCAAGTTCAGAGGCAAGATGCGATCAAGATCATATCCTTAATATTATAGTATCATTTACATAAATTTTGGTTTTTTGTATATAATGTTTGATTTTTTAAATTCCCTACCTTGTTGAAATAAATGTCTTAATTTTAAGACTGAATGTTATACTAAATTACTCAAGCAGATTTATTGTTTTTGTTGTTGCAAACAAACACCAGTGTGCTCAACACAAAGAAAAAAAATGAATAAAGGTCAGAATTTTTATATTGGATATTTCCCTCTGAGTTAGATATTTTATAACAATTTTCTGCTTTCTCTAAATTATTTGGATGGTGTGTATAAATCCTGGGTCAAATGTACATGTTGGGTTATTTCTTGTTTTGTATATATATTTTTTCAACTGTATGTGTATTATAACCATTCTAAATTTCAGAGGAAAATGTGTGCAATGAATTACATATGTCTTCATTAAAAATTATAACTAACATTTTCATAGGGTTTTACCTGCATTATCTCATTTGATTCTCACAATTCTGTGAGACAGATGCCACGTCAATCTATATTCTACTGTCAGTGTTTCAAGTCAAGTAAACAGGTATTTATTAAGTGCTTGCTACGTACCTGACAAATGTGCCAAACGATGGAGATACAAATAAAAGCCAAAGAAGTCTATCCTTGCCCCTCAAGAAGCATGTATTCTAATGGAGGAAACAATATATAATTATATAATATATATGTATATGTATGTGTATATATATATATATGTGTGTGTGTGTGTGTGTACATATGCATACACACACACACACACACACACGGTGTCCCAATAGTCTCAGTACAACTTAAGTAATTAAAGCTTAAAACTGCACTCAGATTTTTGGGACATCCTTTAGCGTTCATATAGAATAAATGGAAAGTAGGTAGTCTCAGAGAATATCATTTATGTATAAGTACAAATGCAAGTGATTTTTGTGAATTTATTGCCTTCCTCAAGCCATTTATTATCTCAATTTTTTTTGTTGTTGAGGATTGTGGATATTTTGGACAATCAAGTCATTTTCAAATAAGAATTATCCATAGTTATTCTTTTGATTTATTTTTATGCTTCATTACTCTAGCTAGCATTTCTAAAACCACATCAAATAGGAGTAGAAAGTTCAGTACATATTAAGTACTCACCGTGTACTAGATGCTGGGAGTCCAAAGACGAAGCCAAAAACAAAAACAATCACTGCTCCCAAGGAGCTCACATTCCACTAGAAGAATGACGTTCAAGTAGATAAATACAGATGTATTTGTAGAGGGAAAGAATACTTATAACCAAGGGGATCCTGAAAGGCTTCCTACAGAAAGTGTCATCTTAAAATGTAACCGTGAAGAAAGCTAAGGATTTGAGGAGAGTGTGACCTGCAGAAATGAGATTCCAATGGTATCAAGTTAGAAGATGGCATGTCCACTTTGGGGAAGTAGCAAGTAGTCCTGTTTGACTGGAAGGGAAAGTGAATGAAGGAGTAATGTAAAGTAAATCTAGAAAGGTAGACTGGAGCCTGGTTGTCAAGGATTTGAATGACAAGCTGAGGACGATATTGCTTTGCATCTATTAATGGTGGGAATACTTCCAAGGGATTCTTAACTAATCCACAGCTGGGCCCCTTCCCCATCAAGGAATCAATGGATAGCTTTCACAGGGTCCATGAATTCAAATGGGAAAAATAATACATCTTTATTTTCACCTCCTTAGGTTTCTTTTATAATTCTATGTATTTTGTTTTATGCACTCAAGATTATTCTGAAATGGGGTCCATAGGTTTTTACCAAATTGCCAAAGGGGGTCAGTCAGTCAATAAACATTGAGACAGTGCCTGGAGGGGTCCATGACACCAAAAAGTTAAGAAGTCTGCTCTAACATATGATATTCTCCATTACACATAATATTAGTTATTAGCTTCAGATATTTCAAATTGCTTTTTTTAAAAATCAGATCTTCTTTATTGCTAATGACTCTCAAAGATCACATGCTACTTTTTGCACCTTTCTAATATATATTTTTGTATCATATATTTATATTATTTGCATTGTAATGATACACTATTTTGTATTATAGTTACCTATAAATATACATCTTATCCCCCTGTGAAACTGTACTTATTCAATAGGTCCAGTGAATTAGCCTTACTAATCCACAGACCCCTGGCTAGGCTATCAGACAGCATTGGGACTCACCATATACCCTCTTGACATCTTCCCTCCCCCATTTCACTGGTAACTGGGTCTAGGTGGGGTGTGCAGGTGTTCAGGGAAGACTAGCACCTCTGGCGTGAAGCCTTGATGAGCACTTTTCAGGACTGCTCATCCACCTGATTCACTCAGCTCTCACCTGCAGCTCCAAGAAGCTATAGCATGAGCAGTGCCCCCTCCCCAGTAAACCCTTTTGGCAGGTGGGCTAAACCAGGCTGATGGTAACCAAGGGGTCTCAAAAGCATCATTGAGTTGGGGAATGTCTACCCCAAGCATGTGAAGACTTATCCCAGTGGAAAGGGCAGATGAAAACAATTTGTTTCAACAGCTCCATGAAGGCAGCTAAAGCTTTGTTAGACTCCAAAGACACCAAGGTCATCCACCGCATCCTGGGCCATTGCCAGCAGTCCGGACATGTGTCTTGCCACTGGATTTCTATGACTCTGGGAGAAAGTGAGGCTGATAACTTCGAGCAGCTCTGCCTCAATGAAATTCAATTTATTCTAATGTGAAAAGAAATCATCCATGCCATTTTACTATTTTTATCCAACTCAAAGTCCTGTGGCCACAGGCAAGTGACAAGGTAACTGCTGCAGATACACTGGGAGCTGTACTCACAACCCTACACCCAGGCCATAGAATCTCCTCACTGGACTAAGTGGCAGTGGGATTCAGCAGTCCTCTGAGGGTGTCTGAGCAGGCTTTTTAAAGGACGGCACTGCTCTTTTCCTGGTGTGATCACAAAAGAGCCTAGAAAAGGTGCCCTAAAAATTGTCTGCTTCACCAAACCTAACCCCAGCCTGCTTAATGTGGCAGGTGAGGATCCTACCCTGCAGTAAAAACACAAAGAAAATACAAAAACTTTTGCAAAGGTGATTTCACTCACCATTGGTACATTTTCATACAGTAGATGACAAACATTAGATTAAAAGATTAAAGACAAACAGCTCTTGCTGTGAGAGGACTCAGCATATATTACACCTAAATAGCCTCCCTGAGTGAAACAAGGCTGGCAAATGTAGGCCAGCTTACCAAAGTTGGCATTGTATACACATTATTCTTTTTCTTTTTTTCCCCCCAATTTTATTAATTTATTGATTTATCAATAATCACTTCCATATGCTTTTGAGTTGAAAATTTTTCTCCCCCTTCCTCCCCCCACCCTCCCCAAGATGACGCACAATCTGCTATAGGTTTTACATTTACATTCCTATTAAACATATTTTCACATTAGTGAAGTTGTAAGTAAAAAATAAAACCAATAGGAGGAACCATCAGAAAGAGGAAACAAAACTCAACAGAAGGTAAAAATAAGTATACACATTATTCTTGAGTGACCAAAGTGATGAGGAGCACCAAGATGGCGGATTATGTTTCACAATCAAAATGAATCTAGTCAATAAGCTTCTCTACCTACTAAAAGGAGGGAATGACAGGCTTATGACAATTCCATTGCCACTTGCAGAAAAGCGCCACAATACCATCATCTGTGGGCGTGCTCCCACTGTAATGAACACTAATGAGGTCTTTTATGACCTCATACTTTTATGAAGATCTGGGATTGATTCCCTACTTTCCTGGTGACAAATTCCTTCTCACTGGGCGCCTCAGTTTCCCCATCTGTAAAATGAGGGGTAGGACTAGGTAACAGAAAAGGGCTCCACCCCTAAAGGTTGAGGGACGAAAGAGGCATCAACAGACTGTGCTCTCCCTGGGCCTGTCCCTAAAGAAATGACTGTCATGGGGCAGGTGGGTGATGCAGTAGATAGAGGACTGGCCCTAGAGTCAGGAGGACCTGAATTCAATTCCGGTTTCAGACTAGATACTTGACAAGTACCAGCTGTGTGACCCTGGGCAAGTCACTTAACCCCAATAGGCTTGCAAAAAAAAAACCCAAAATAAACAAACAAACAGAAAAGTCCCCCAACTTATTTTGGGCCAGCTAGGTGGCAGTGAATAGAGTTCCAGCCATGGAGTCAGGAGGACCTGAGTTCAAGTCCGATCTCAGACACATGACACTTACTAGCTGTGTGAC